CCGGAATGTATCTACCATGTTAGGGGGGGGGGTCGACTGTAGTTACATAATTAATATGCACACTGATTTGCACATATAATACAATACCTTTACAAATATTCTGCTATTTAGACAAGTATTGTCACTATATGTAAAACATGATTTTCAATAACTCATCATCTCAGTTCATAGCTGGGTTAAAAGCCAATTACACCACTACACTGCAAACAGGTGGCAGGAGAGGTGGAATACGGATACAACTGGCAGGAACATCTTTGACTTTTTTCTTGACATAAAAGCAAAGAACAACATGGAACACTTTCACTGGACTTCCCCTTCCTATTAATGTAATTATCATTTGCTTTCTCAATATTAGATAAGCTAATGATAAATGCGAAGATGTTACACAGCTAGGGACATCACTGTCATATCTTGACAGAATTGAAGCATAGCATTGCATTGTTGTAATTAAAAATTTTCAATTATTAGTACATATTTCACTTCACCTAACCCAAGCACCAACATGTGTTTGAATGTGTACATAAGGGTATGCATAAGTGCGTGGATGTGCATGAGTAAGAGAGAATGAGTGAGAATGTGATCAGAAGAAAATGGTTGTTGCCACAGACAGGCAATCTTCGCACCTGCTGGAAATAAAAAGGCAATCCTTACAATTGCCAGGCACAAACAACTAATTCTCATATTCACTCAGTGTTGACTACTTTATTCTTGTGTACTGTTCATTTTGGCAATCAGAAGAAAACAGTTGTTCATTTTTGACACCCATTTTCCACTAGGTATGCTCAATGTTTTTTTTTTTTTTATTTATGCTCCTAAATTGCTCCAGGGAGCATGGACATCACTGACCACATTATCTGAAAACAAAGTCATGGACCCCATTTTTTTTTTTTTTTTTTGCTTTTGGTCTCCTCATTGCAATTAATGGAAAATGCCAAAGTTTTATCAAAATCCATCAAATTTTAAAACAAACAATTCTATAAGCCACATTAACATAGAAGAGGCTTCATCAATGCTCTGCCTCAATAATTACAAAAAAGTATATCAAAAACACTGTTTATAAGTCAATTTTATAAAAAATACATTAATATTGGAAAAATTAATTACCAAGCTTATTTTTCCGAGCCAAATAGTGCATAATTGCAGAACTTTGGGTGAGCTTCACTGAACCATCGATATAATAAGGCAACTAAAANGTACAGGAGAGAACGACAGGTACAATAAGCACCCTTTCCATCCTCCACAGATGCCTTATTTCCTGGGCGAGTTCTGTGTACTTGCTAATTTTTTCAGTGAATGTGTTTTGTACATTATGAGTGATTAGAATGGATATGTCTATAATATATGTGATTTTATTGTGTTTGTCAATGAGTGTGATGTCTGGTTTTTTTGCGGTAAATTGTTTTATCTGTGATGATTATTATTATTTTTATTATTATTTTATAATAATAATTAGATTGCTTTCTCAGAGAACTTTTAATTTAAATTATATTAAAATTACTTAATAGTCAATAAATGTTTACATACATACATAAAAAACCAAAAATTTAAATGTTTATATATAGTATTTAAAAATAATTTGATTTAAAGAATATATCAGAATTTAGTAAATTAAATTGTACTATTGTATCTATTTGTTATGAGTTTTGAAAGCATGTAGCATTGTGTAATTATCTCAAAACTTAGTTTTCATCTACATCAAAGTTAATCTCGTAAAATTTTCAATTATGAAAATGATTTACCAGATTATATGTGAAATACACAGTTTTATGTATAACTGATTAATTTATTAACAAAATAAAAAAAAAATCACTTTTAAATTCAATTTCAGTTTTAAATATATACTCTTTAGTTTTGTCAGATCAAAATTACTAAAGGAAAAGTTATTGTTATTCACTGACACCACTTGTTAATTAATAGCATCAATTCCACATATTAGCAAAGAATATAACCTTTTTTCCAAGATTTCACTGCAAAACACCTTACAAATAACACTACTTAAAAATAACCACTAAACAGTGAATAGTTTTTCAATTAAAATTTAACTAAAAATAGAAATATAGTCGACCCCCCATAGTACAGGTTCCTATAGTTCGGATTCCTATATCACCACGAAAAAATTGCAACAGTATTCGTACAAACATGCTAAAAAAAACTTGTATAATTCGGAAAAATGTCATTGCCGACTCGTGTCGCGACAGGATTGGTCGAATCTAGACCAATAGCGGATATTGTACAAACTGTTAAGTTTAAATGAGCAGCAGACCTACTAAAAACCATTTATTATTTAATGGCCATAAAAATTATATTTATATTAATGATGTCTCCAAAGTTCAGCGAATTTTTTGCAAAAAAAATAATTTATCAGGAAGCACATGAGTGCCATTCGATGACAAGCTCCATGATGAAAACAAGCTTAAGCAATGGCGTAGTCGAATGGTGCACACTCAGTAAGTAATCCTACAATTTTTTGTTTATAGCATAGTTTATACAGATTATGCCCAAAAAATTATACGTATTTTGGAAATGTTGAGTCAAATTAGTCTAGAATCGATTTAATTTTATGGAAGAAACCTTTCAAACAGCCGTAGTCCGTAAACTGCATACTTGCCGGGATGCGATTGGCTGAACTCTTAGAAAATGGATTCATAAAAACCGGAATGTATCTACCATGTTATAGGGGGGGGGGTCGACTGTAGTTACATAATTAATATGCACACTGATTTGCACATATAATACAATACCTTTACAAATATTCTGCTATTTAGACAAGTATTGTCACTATATGTAAAACATGATTTTCAATAACTCATCATCTCAGTTCATAGCTGGGTTAAAAGCCAATTACACCACTACACTGCAAACAGGTGGCAGGAGAGGTGGAATACGGATACAACTGGCAGGAACATCTTTGACTTTTTTCTTGACATAAAAGCAAAGAACAACATGGAACACTTTCACTGGACTTTCATACTACCCAATTTATTACTGGTCACAGTAATTTTAAACAATATCTAAAAAGGTTCTTGAGCAAGGGAAAATGGCATTTGTGACTGTGGAGTAGAAGAAGAAATACTGGACCACTGTATTGTTTAACTGCCCAAAACATAATCACCATAAACTCCTAGCACAGAGGATGTACACATAGGGACACCATTGCCCCTGTAGGTGTAAGGTGATTAAAACAAGAAATTACTAACAGACTGACATCAAAACTAATTTAAAACTAGCAGTGATTAATATTCAACAAAATACTTCCAATATATTATGTTAATTTAACTTCTGAAATTGATGTTAAGCATATCTATGTTAACTTATAATTATATATGAATGACATTATCACAATGCCAAGCTGCAATTTTTAATAATTTAAAATATATGCTCTCCACCTCAAATTAGTAGAGTCTTGTCCTGTACATCACACTTTTCCTGTTAGCAATAGTGTCATGCCAGTCATCTATCAAAAACTCCTTTCGGGGAAAATTTTTAATTGATATAATGTGACTTCCAGTTTGCAATGGAAGTTCGTACATAGTTAAATCGGGGGCCTCCTGCCCGTAAGGTTTCTATAACTGATCTCTGCTTTCATCTATTTAGCACCATTCTTGAGGTTATGAAAGGACAGACCAACAGACAGGCGACAGTGGGAATTTATAGGGTCTACTATTTTTTCAAATTTCAGCCCAATTAATAATTATGATTTACTAGCATTTTTTTCTTCTTTTTTCTCTTGTATGCAGCCTGCATCAGTTCAAAGTTTTGAAATGTGACCCTTACGTAGAAAAAGGTTACCAATCCCTGCTATATAGCATTGTAAGAAAGACTAACTTGTTAAATTTTGTACATTTTGTAGATTCTGTAGATCAGGGTTTTTGAAATAATTAGATAAAATTTAATTTGAATAGTCATGCTGTATTATAAATTAGTTTTATAGGAAGGTAAGTGTTGGTGTGGATTGATGTTCCTTCCTATATAATTAAAATTTAATTATATGTTTATAACAACATAAGCATTTTGTGAATTAATAATGAAAAAAAAATGACTTGAATCAATTCAATTTTCACATCTACTAACAAAAAAAAAAATTCTTCTTTTAATTTAAACTTTGTATGTTACTTGAGAGAGGGAAAAAGTTACTTACATTGGGAAAATCAAGACCAAGAGTGAATTTTTCATTCAGCCAAGCACTACGATCAAAAGTTGGAGGTGGTCCATAAGAATAGGTTTTGTCCTCAAACTCTGTTTCAGTATAAGCTAACAATAATCTGATGGGTTGAGCAAGCTAAAAATATTTTTAAGTTATTACTTTTCTTTTACTAAAATAATTTTGAATACTTACAAGAAAAAAATAGCTTATCAATTAATAAATATCATATCATAAACAAAAGAACTTTTACAAGCTATTAAATACAGTAGAGCGTCGATTTTCCGAATCAATTGGGGGCTGGAGTTGTCCGGATAACTGATATTTCGGATAACTGATTTACGTACGAAAAAATAGTTTAACGTATCCGATGTCGAAATTTTTCTCCGTTGTGTGTCGCTCCGCGTTGAATTTTCGTCGATGTTAAGCCTAACAAAGACTATTGTATCGTTAAAATTAATTTTTTATTTTGTACAAACAAAATAAATATATTGAAAAATATAAAAATAATAAAAAATTATACTTCAGATGTTAATTTAGTATCAAAAACGTAAAATATTTGAGTAGACCAAGATATAGCCAAAGATTGAAGCGCCACAACACTGGCGTAAATTTAAATTTGCCAACTGAATTCTTTCGGATGATTGACGTTTCGAATGATTGACTTTCGGAAAATCGACGCTCTACTGTAATTATTTATGATTTTATTTAAAATATTAAATTCTAAGTAATATATAATTTAGAAACATATATAAAAAAATTTATTCCATTACTTTATACTGGTATATAAGTAATTAAAATCAATTTAAGATCTCTTTGCAATTTCAAACTAAAATATTAAGATTTTAAAAAATTAAAAATTTGCCAAAATTAATAAACTCCAAATACTTTTAAAATGCAGTCTATTTTAAAAAACTTCTCTAACATTTTCAGGTCAGATTAACAGATCTTCTTCAGGATCAAACTAATAGAATTTAAATTTGCCAAAGGGAATTAGTTTGATCCTGAAGAAGGTCTGTTAATCTGACCGAAAACGTTAGGAGAAGTTTTTTAAAATAGACTGCATTTTAAAGGTATTTGGAGTTTATTAATTGATTATAGTAATGCAGGTAGAGATATAATGATTTGCCAAAATTTATTACAGAATTTGATTATAAGATTATTAAAGAAAAAAACAAAGAATCAATACTGATTAATTAAAATGTTGAATGAAAAATGAATAAAAACTATGTGAATAAATTTTTTTTTAAATTATGAATTTTATTCATATCACTATTGAAGTGATATGAATAAAATTTATATACTGTATTTTAATATACATTTTAAAAAGTGATTTGTTTTATGTATTAAAATTTTAAAAAAATCATTAACTAATAAATGATTAAAATTCTAAATAACTCTTATACAAAATTCCCAACTATTTACTTTACCAAATATTGTTTGGAGTTTACCTCATTACAAATTGATGGTAGCATATAGCATATATTTGGCAAAAGAATTGGAAAAATCTTACTTAAACATTGATTACATTTTATGTCAATGATGAATGAGTTTAGATTTAATTTAACTTATATTTAGTTTATTTTAGATATTTAAAACTTTTAATTTAAATGCTGTAGACTAATAAATGCATTTCAAATTTTTGATACATTTTTTTAACATTTATCATATAGAATATATCTTAAACCTTTTTAAAAAATTCATCCATTATCTTTAACCAATGGTGCATATCATTCATTAAAAAGATGAATTTATTATTACAGACAAGGTCAGTCTGTCTGTTATCTCTTAGTATCTTGTGTATGTGTTAAGAAATTAAACATTATAAAGACTATTGAATAATTTACAAAAAATGCTGTTGTGTTAAACTTTTATTCTGGTTAATTGTTAGTAAAATGTTATAAGTATTGAACTTTGAAATATTTTATTCTGTTCAAGAAGTTTGGTATCATATTTGTACTCAATGATAAATTACCCAGTGTGTCAGATGACAAATTATTCATTTGTTAAGATATTGTATAATAAATGATTAATTTGAAGAAAATATTTTTCGTTTGATCATTTATTTAAAAATTAATGCTGTATCATTATTCATATAATTAATCTTAAATCTAATATGCAATTAAATAAGTCACTTAAATTCAAAGAATATGCTTTTGTAATTTCTCTGACAAACATTTTGTAAACATAATTGATTAAACCTACCAATTCTTATTAATATCTTGGTTTTCTATAATTATCAGAAGAAAAATTATAAATTTACTAAATTTCAATATAATTAGACAGGCAAACACGTAGGTAATGTTAAAAATAAAAATCACTAATCTAATTGAAGGCAATTCAAGATATCTGTACAACAATTTTGCATATGTAAGTAGGAAATATTTAAGGAAATTTTAAAAGTTTTGGAAGATAATATATTACATATTAATTACTCTAATTCTTTCATATATTTTGGAAATTAGAGTATGTTATAGCTTTATTCTAATGTTCTGCTTATTATTTCTGAAATGGATCATAAATAGCAGTTATAAAATTTATTGATATGTCAGGTTCTGTCACCTTTTAAGTCTTCAATTAACATTTCACTTCAGCATAAGAATTGTGATGTTTCACAGAATTAACTATTAAATTCAATTATTGCAAATATAGTTTTTCAATGTTTTGAAATTTTTTTGTATTCACATACTAGGCTATCAGAGTTAAGTAATTCTTTTTTGGATGAGAAAGGAAAAACTATATAAAAAGAAACAATAAAAATCTATAATAACTTCATTCAATTTACATGGTTTGAGTATTAATTTAAAATAAAATCATCAGTTATGACCAAATATTTGTTAATAGCAGTTCTTAAGCCAATATGAAAATGTATTTTCCATTATTTAAAGCTATTGTTTTAGTTATCTGAGAGAAGGTAATAATCAGAGCTATATAGGCTATATAGTCCTTGTAATATAGGTTTTGTATCCTTAAAATATTAGTAGGCTAAAGGATACAGTCTAATGATATTTCAAGGATACAGATATTAAATTTGTATCTAGACAATGCCAAACTCAACAAAACAACAGACAATCAAAATAAAACAATATCCCATTAACATTTAGACAATTGTGCTGAAATGAGTTTTAAAATCATATCTTTGAGAGTAAGTAATTGGTCTGAAGTTTTACCAATAATTTTATTTGTTTTATAAACTTTAAATTATATAATTTTTTTGCCTCAATTTTAGCAATTGATTAAAAATTATTACCATCAATCTTAACTGCTTACATTCTTTTTTGAATACAAAGAGGTGAAACTAAGTTTTGAAACACAAAGTTAAGCCAAATATTCAGCTTAAAAAAAAAAAAAAAAACAGAATGAGGCATCAAAGGTATATTTAAGGAGAAACTAATACAAGGACATACAAGGACAATAAACTTAAAAAAAACAAGTCCTTCCATCCCAACAGCAAAAAAGTTAGAGGAAAGTTTCTTTGTAGTTACTTCACCACCACCTTTTTTTTTTTTTTTTTGCCAAATATACTGCACTTTTACTTAGGTCAACTACAAAACAGTTGCTTCTGGCACAACAACATAACCTTATTCCATGTAATAATTTGGAATACTGCAAAAACATCTTTAATTATGTTGCTACTATAGATAAAGAATATGCCATGCAAAATTTATTACTTAGGAACTTCTTTATTCCACACCCAATCTAAACAAATCTTCATTCTGCTTTAAAAAGCAAATTATGCAAAAAGTTTTTAATGTGATATATATTGTTTTGACAAGCTGCTGGTTTACATACACTGTAATTAATAATTTAATATATATTATAAAGTATAATAAAATTTATTTAAATTTCTAACTTATAATTTAATAAGTATGAATACATAATATAATGTTTATAATTATCCATCTTTTTAGTTTTAATAGTGTTGAAGTAATAAGTTATGTATAAACATATTGGTGAAATTTCTAAGTTGAATTTTATATTATATACAAGTTATGAAGTAAATTTGATGCAGCTTGTGAATTAAAATTATTAAAACTTAGATCGTTCATCAAGATAAAGAAATTTTAGTATTATTATTATATAGTATATTATATTATTTCAATGGATACACTAAATCATTTTAAAAATATACTGAAAATTTGAATTATTAAAAGTAAAAGCCGTTAGAACAAAGTTTCGTCATAAGGACAGACAGTCAAAACCGGTTGCAATAATCGAAACTAGAATAAATTTTGTGGCATTCCACCCTGCATCAAATTCAAATTTAATCAGTTTCAAAAGTTTTATTATATTTATTACAGGTTTCTAAGGCTAGTGATAAGCGAGTACTGATAATTACTTACACCACGGATATTCCAATAACCTAAGACAGGAGCCATAACGGAATTTCTCAAGGACTCACGACTTGGGTTGACACGATCAGAGACCTAGATAATTTCAAGCTAAACATGCCTACTTAAAAACCACTGCCACATTCTCCCTCTGGCGGCGGCGGCAAGAGGTAACTTTAAATATTAACATTTATTGATTTTTAAATTGATAAAGATTAAATATTCTGTCCATATCTTTCAATATGATGTGCGTCGAATAGATTTAATATTAAAGGATGCGATTATATCGTTATATCGATTATATCGAATAGATTTAATATTAAAGGATGCGATTATATCGTTTATTATTATTATGAAAGTAATGTACTGTACATATTTTAAATTCGTTCGCGTTTAATGAGCGAATATTCAATGCGATTCGGAATTTAAGTGATTATTTGATGAATTGTGCATTACTCGGAGGAATGTAAAATATTTTTAGATTTAATGTAATAAAATTACTATGTATCGTTTTAAATTAACTTCTTTATGATTTTAATTAAATCTTTAAACTGTTTTTATGGGCCCCAATTTCACTATACGCAGTTTAAAAAATAATAATTTTTAAAATACTATATTTTGCTTCGTAGAGAGGTTTTTCGTGTATCGTTTCCTTCATCAGTATGTGTAATATTTTCTAAATGCTTATACAAAATGTTTACCTTTTTGCATTATACAACATAAATCAGGGGGAGATGCCCACTAGGGAAAGATGGTAGGTATTTCAGATATCAATAAAACATTCTATAGAACGCGTTGAGAACACGCAAACCCCGAATGACATCACTTCCTGCATATAAAAATATTCGCAACGTCAAGTAAAATATTTTACCGCTAACTCAAATATCAGACATCTATCCCGGACCCTAGTGTAGTGTAGTGTATACTCTATACATTCTAATGTGTAGATGTTGAGTATTCAACAACATTGAAACTGAAATAAATTTAAGAAAATATATTCCTTTAAAACTTTGATGTATTTTTACTTTTCCGGCTGTTATATATAACAGAGGGAAGTATGGCGAGAGGTCAAAAAATGACCCTCCAAGATTTTTACATTTTTGGACTCAGAAGACCTTGAAACGTCGAGAAATGGAAAAAAAATCGGGGGTAATTTCTGTATGTATAGATGTTATTGTGTGGAGAAGCAAGATTTTGTTCACACTCTTTGAAGCTTAATAACTTCTGTGCTTTTTGTCGAAAATTTCTGAAATTTTGCAGGGAGGCTTATTTATTAGGGGAATTGATTCTATTAAATTTTGATGATTAATTAAAGGTCGAGGAAGTGAGGAGAGAAAGAGGGTCGTGTATTTCTTCAGTATGGTTAGATTTAATGAAGAGTTTATTCGCTACTATCATTTACAATTCTTTATAAAATCCATCCCAACCCTCAAAATTAAGCTATTTCCTATTTTATAATAGTTAAAAATATAAAAAGTTTTTGAAATAAAATATGATAACAGATGGCGCCGCCAAATGTTGCCGGGAAAGTTAAGCAACTCGTTGCCGGATTTTTTGCAAAGGAATAGTGTTAAAATCGAATTCATTTTTTAATAAAATATACAAGCATTATATGGTTTTTATTTTTTGCTTTTAACAAAAAGGAAACACGGAAAATATATTTTAGAATGATTTATATCTGTGGAGAAATTTAAAAATTTATTCTTGAGATCCACGAAAATTACTGTTGATTAGTAATAGTTATAACTCTTAAATATGAATGAAGACCGAGTTTGAAAATGATTGAAGACTTTTATAAGTTCACCCTCTCCTGCAATCAGTTAAATGTTCACAATGCCGTGAAGAAGACCGAGAAATGTTTAGAAAAAAACCGTCAGTTATGCTTGAAAGCTGTCTTTGTTGCGACTGTTATGCATTATAAAAATGATAGGCATCAATTATTTCACCCCATTACATAACAATATACAGTATTGTTATATAAGATTTGTTTTGTTGTATGATGATAAAACAAGGTCAAAGTCAAAAGAGGACTTAAGAAGAATTTAAGAAGAAAATATTTTATATAAATAATAATAAAATGTCTTTTAATTTTAACTGAAAAGTTTATAACTTGATTAGAGATAAAATTATTGATTAAAGAATAGAAATGTTTATCCATTTGTAATGGAACTTTTAATGTTTTTTTATATTAAATTTATTTATAATCTCATAATTATCCCATAACGTTATTGCTATTGGCAAAACCATAAAAATATATGAAAAAAGAAAGTAAAAAGCATTAGTGATCCAGATCACGAAAAACAAAACATAACCTTACTAAGTACTTCAATACAAATACCATATCATCTTCACAGTCAACAAAGGCTTATAGTAGCCCAAAGTAATGGATATAGCTGCATTAGAAAAAAAAAAATTGAAAGGTTTTTTTGTTCTTTTTTGTCAAACATGGCTAACAAAAGTATTTTTTATGATCGTTACATTAAGGGATGATATTACTCATATAAAAACCATGAGCTATTATTAACAATTAATCAATATAAAGTTATACTGAATAAAACGTAATATAATGTAATAGAAAAGTCTGAAGTATTTTAAAATATGTATGTATAATTAGAATTAGATATTTTTATAATCACGTAAAATCTTTTTATAAGTATGGCATATAAATTTCAGTTAGTTTAAAGTTTATACTTTGATATAATATAAATGAATATAATTATATTAAATATTAATCACTGCCACATTCTCCCTCTGGCGGCGGCGGCAAGAGGTAACTTTAAATATTAACATTTATTGATTTTTAAATTGATAAAGATTAAATATTCTGTCCATNCATTCTAATTTTAATGCAAAATTATAATAAGTTATTTCGTTTTGTTTTTAATGATAAATCTTGTGAAATTTTTAATTTAATCATTTTCGTATAATATTAAACTTTTTAAACTTATTAGCTGTGGTTAAATGTTTATAGGCTGATACTGTTAATTAAAATTATAAGTTAATATTATAATTTTAATTGTCCATCTATTGGAATTTTTAAATTTTAGTATATAAATACATTTATTTGACTATTTTTTAAGACATATAATTTATAGATTTATAAATCAGTATTAAGAATTTTTTAAATCTTACAATAACAAAAACATTTAAGAAGAATTATATCTAAAAATCTGTTTCCAAGTGAATCTAAATTAATTTATATGTTTGTAAATTAAAATGCCAGTCATTAAGTTTTTGATTTATGTACTGTACTGTACAGTAACAAGCAAGCCTCATAGACCAACAATACATCTCTATTGTTAATTATGTTAACCTGTTCTGTTAAGGAGCAGGTTAATATGGTAAACAATAGGTTCATATATACATAAGCTCATGTTTATTAATTACTTAACTTACTCTCAATTAATATTTTTGACATGTTTTAATTTAATATAGCGGAATGCCTATTTTATTTATAATTTTGTTTTTATTTTTATAAAATTATTATTATTATTATGATATATGAATATTAAATTAAAATGTTGTTATTATAATTATTATAAGTTTATAAGTTTAGAAAATATTGTTAAAAGTCAAAAATAATTTTAAATTAGTATTTTTTTTTCTTTCCAATAAATGTTTCCTGCATATTTAAGCCTTTTTTTAGTAAGGATAAATTTTATTAAGTTCAGTTTATATTTGGTCTGCTTTGTGTTTATGAGCTGTATAATAGCAGGTAGATGCGTCTTACTATGATGACTTTTATGACCATTAATAAAACTGGAAAGAAAAACAATGATAACAAATTTTTCACATAATTATTTATTGCAAGAAAAAGTTAACTCACGCTGGGGAATTTTAGATTAAGAATATATTTTTTTAGTAACTTATGAATTGAAAATCCCTAGACATAATATTTACAATAGCATTACTCAGTTTTAGTGTATGTCAGTAAAGTGATGAGTTATATTACAAAAAATGTCGCCCTTTTTTCTAATTTATGCGCTATTAATTCTCAAAGAACTAAAATCTAGAATGCATAAAATTGACCTAGCTTATATTGTTAAGTTTCCACTTTTCTTTTTCTTTTTTTTTCTTCTCATATTTTTGTATTTGATGAATCATGTTTGCAAAGTTAAAATTTGTCTAACCTACATAATGTACAAGGTCAATTTTTTTCCTTGTCTGTCTAGTATCTTATCTTGTTTAGAAGGACATTGATAAAGAAAGTATAGTATTTTGAGATAAGATAAAATAACACAACTTGTTCTATTATAAAAATGCTGAGATGTGATGAAGAATTTTTTAAATTATAAACGACATATTAAAAATACATTAAGCAGTTGTTTTTTTTATAAAAGCTGTTTTTTTAATTAATGTAAATAATGCTGTGAAGTTAGTTTTATATTCCTTAGTAAGCAGAAACTTTGCTTGAATTATTCTGTGCAAGTTAACGATAGTAATGGAGCATGTTATCACGCGATCATCAATTCGTGACACAACTTTGCAGTTAACAATATAAGCATAACGCATTTTATATTTGCCTATTCTTTAATGTATAAAGTGGACAATACATAACTAAAACACGGTATAATTTTATAAATTTCTTTCGTATATTTTTAAAGTGTTTAAATGTATTTAATTTCAGCTTTATTCATAGCTCTTATGATATACTTAATTATGTTTATCCACCTAATTAACGAATCAAAAATAGAATTTAAAAATGTAAACACGCGTGTAATTAAATACATTATGCATATTTTACAGTTTATATTTAAAAACAATTTTACTTGAATAAAGTAGAAAATATTACTATATCAGTACTTTAATATCTAAAACTTTTTCATATGCTTAATAATAATAAGTTTATCTAAAAAATTAAGGTAAAATGCTATTGCAAAAGAAAATACTGTCATTAAGAAAACGAGATTCACGACTCATGATTAGATGATGAATCTCTTTCTTTAATAATAATGGCATTCTCTCTTCAATAAGGCTTTTTCCTTAATTCTTAACCTAAATTCCTTAAACTTATTATTCTTCTGAAAGAGTTTTACTTGTTAAAAATTCTGACATTATATTACTCTTAAAGAAACATTAAGATTCATATTCTAATCACAGTAATTCTAGAATAAGTCACCGTACCGCTATATGCCAAGTACAAGATAAACATGAAGACCCTTTTTTTAAAAAAATATATTTACAAGACAATTCACACGAAAAATTAAAGTTTTATCTGACGATGAGTTATATTTTTCTTGAAGATAATCCTTCATTGTATTATTCTTCCTTGGGAATATCTATTCCTCTAATTCTGTAAGGATAGTATGAATTGTTTCTAAATATATATATGTTGTTTTTTTAGATTTAACATTTTGGAATGGACTTATTTATTCATTCTAATTTTAATGCAAAATTATAATAAGTTATTTCGTTTTGTTTTTAATGATAAATCTTGTGAAATTTTTAATTTAATCATTTTCGTATAATATTAAACTTTTTAAACTTATTAGCTGTGGTTAAATGTTTATAGGCTGATACTGTTAATTAAAATTATAAGTTAATATTATAATTTTAATTGTCCATCTATTGGAATTTTTAAATTTTAGTATATAAATACATTTATTTGACTATTTTTTAAGACATATAATTTATAGATTTATAAATCAGTATTAAGAATTTTTTAAATCTTACAATAACAAAAACATTTAAGAAGAATTATATCTAAAAATCTGTTTCCAAGTGAATCTAAATTAATTTATATGTTTGTAAATTAAAATGCCAGTCATTAAGTTTTTGATTTATGTACTGTACTGTACAGTAACAAGCAAGCCTCATAGACCAACAATACATCTCTATTGTTAATTATGTTAACCTGTTCTGTTAAGGAGCAGGTTAATATGGTAAACAATAGGTTCATATATACATAAGCTCATGTTTATTAATTACTTAACTTACTCTCAATTAATATTTTTGACATGTTTTAATTTAATATAGCGGAATGCCTATTTTATTTATAATTTTGTTTTTATTTTTATAAAATTATTATTATTATTATGATATATGAATATTAAATTAAAATGTTGTTATTATAATTATTATAAGTTTATAAGTTTAGAAAATGTTGTTAAAAGTCAAAAATAATTTTAAATTAGTATTTTTTTTTTTCTTTCCAATAAATGTTTCCTGCATATTTAAGCCTTTTTTTAGTAAGGATAAATTTTATTAAGTTCAGTTTATATTTGGTCTGCTTTGTGTTTATGAGCTGTATAATAGCAGGTAGATGCGTCTTACTATGATGACTTTTATGACCATTAATAAAACTGGAAAGAAAAACAATGATAACAAATTTTTCACATAATTATTTATTGCAAGAAAAAGTTAACTCACGCTGGGGAATTTTAGATTAAGAATATATTTTTTTAGTAACTTATGAATTGAAAATCCCTAGACATAATATTTACAATAGCATTACTCAGTTTTAGTGTATGTCAGTAAAGTGATGAGTTATATTACAAAAAATGTCGCCCTTTTTTCTAATTTATGCGCTATTAATTCTCAAAGAACTAAAATCTAGAATGCATAAAATTGACCTAGCTTATATTGTTAAGTTTCCACTTTTCTTTTTCTTTTTTTTTCTTCTCATATTTTTGTATTTGATGAATCATGTTTGCAAAGTTAAAATTTGTCTAACCTACATAATGTACAAGGTCAATTTTTTTCCTTGTCTGTCTAGTATCTTATCTTGTTTAGAAGGACATTGATAAAGAAAGTATAGTATTTTGAGATAAGATAAAATAACACAACTTGTTCTATTATAAAAATGCTGAGATGTGATGAAGAATTTTTTAAATTATAAACGACATATTAAAAATACATTAAGCAGTTGTTTTTTTTATAAAAGCTGTTTTTTTAATTAATGTAAATAATGCTGTGAAGTTAGTTTTATATTCCTTAGTAAGCAGAAACTTTGCTTGAATTATTCTGTGCAAGTTAACGATAGTAATGGAGCATGTTATCACGCGATCATCAATTCGTGACACAACTTTGCAGTTAACAATATAAGCATAACGCATTTTATATTTGCCTATTCTTTAATGTATAAAGTGGACAATACATAACTAAAACACGGTATAATTTTATAAATTTCTTTCGTATATTTTTAAAGTGTTTAAATGTATTTAATTTCAGCTTTATTCATAGCTCTTATGATATACTTAATTATGTTTATCCACCTAATTAACGAATCAAAAATAGAATTTAAAAATGTAAACACGCGTGTAATTAAATACATTATGCATATGCCTATAGAAAACTGTAGTGTTTTAATAAAAAATATATGAAGAGATTGAATTAGTGCTGTTAGTTCTCAACTACTTGTCGACAACCGGAGATAACAATTTCAATACTTCCTGCTTAATCACTTTTCACTTATCACCCTTGGCTGTTTGAAGTAGATAAATACAATGTTTCTGGATGAAATTTTAATATTTAAACACACATTTACTTCTTACGTGCTGCTTCTCAGCCTACTTACAAAAATATATACTGTAGGTTTTGGTCTGGGCATTTTTGTTTATTTATATTGTCGAAAAGAAAGATTTGCATCCCCAAAATAGTTACATTAATATAAAAATTTATTATTCGGCCAGTGAATAATAAATATTTTTGTTGAGATTTTTAGTTTTTAACTTTGAATGTTAAACATATATTTTATTTTAAAATGGATGCAATCTAACTTTATATATACATATATAAGTATGCTTATAATATTAATGAATAAAATTATTAACAAAAAAATAAAAATGTATATGATGATCAAGATATTGATATTAAAATATAAAATCAATAACTAATACTAATTTTATTTTCTTAGAATTAATATATCATGTTAAGAAATATTCCAGAAATATCACGTTTATTCCAGAAATATGAGATTTTCTTTTAATTTTTGAATAGAATGTATTAGAATTTAGTTCTTACACCGAAAATGACTATTGTGAACGAATTAAATTATCATAACAAGCAATAATATATTGTTCTAAATGTTTAGTCAGAATTTTCAATTCTTTAATAAAGGAATTGTCATAATGTAGTCAGAATTTGTACTTATTTTAGCACTCAAATTTTATTTTAAGTTTTTCTCGTATTCTCTAATTAATTAAGAAATTTTTTAACAGTATTCTACATTAAATAGAATTCATAAAAGAGCAGTTTACATAATGAAACCAAAAATAATCATATTTAAAAAACAGAAAAAAATTTCCAAAAAATTCAATTGTATCATTTGTCTTTGTTTTTTTTAGAATCATTAGTAACTTGATTATATTTAGTAAACGATACTACAAAGTCGAGTTAAACATTTTTCTATCATATCTTTTCTTGTCTCTGTTATTTAAAGCTTTATTCTGATAACATCATTTATCATCATAAAAATTGGAACCCTTCACCTGTTTGAGATAAACATAGAAGTCTGTTATTGATCGTTATTTTTTCTTTTTTCTTTCAATTTACAAACTAAATCTCAGTTTATTTTTTTAAATTTCAAATTTAAGAAAAAGAAAGGAAATTCTGTTTATTGTTTCAGATAAAAAATTGGAAAATTTTAAATGGCTTTAGTATAGAAAATAAATTGTTTAAATCGTAATATTTATATAGAAGTGAAGTTTAGAGGATTTATATAATTTTCTTTCAAAGGTCGGTGGATTAAAGTTAAATTTATTTTAAATACAATTGATAGAACCATTATCAAAATAAATCTGGCAAAAGCGAAAATGTGGAATATGAATTTGATAGATTACGGTATTAAGTTCCATTATTTTACAAATGAAAAATGTGCATTAATATTGTATTAAGTCTTCGGTTTGTAAGTATAGTTGATGCCAGAGACTGTTGTATATTTTATGATGTTGAAAAGTAACCAAAGTTACGATAAACTCGCGACAAGTGATGCCATCTAGTACTTCGAAACGTAACCTTATAAACAAGCTTTAAATAATTATTCTACTACATAAAAATTTAAAATTTTATGCAAAATATCTGTAATTTTTTCATTATTTTTATTGAATAAAATTTTCTTTCTCCTCTTACAGATTCCTTGCGTGATAATGACACGGCGGCTTCTGTTTTTAACCAAATGATATCATTAAGAAATCATGCAGAAAGTCAACCTAAATTGTAGGTATTCATTTTAAAAAATTAAAGTTTTAATTTCTTTCTCTTCGGTTTAAAGCTAATTTAGTAGCTTTTTTTAACGGTATAATTTTATAATTTCTATTAAAATAATCACCTTTTGCAAATCTAATATTAGATTCATTAATATTAAAGCAAATTGTCGTCGAGTTAACGCATTATAATCTATGTTTAAAAATTAATTTCGGTAGGATTGATGATCTTCAGATCTTGAATAGATTAAAGTGATAGTGAGGAATGCCTGCTACAGTATCTTATTGACCGAATGTAATTTTATTTAGCTTTATTAACATTTATAAGAAATGCTTTGCATTGAATATTTATTAATATTTGTTAATAGTATTAAATGCAATTATTTTCGGTTCGTTTGTCTGTTTTTCTTCTTTATACATATTTAAAGTATGTTTTTTTTTTGTTGTTGTTGTTGTTGAAAGATACGTGGATTTTAGTTATGTTAATCAATAGAAACTAAATTTTTTACTATCTAAACTTAATATTTATTTATTTTAAGAAGCAAAGATAATAAATTTGTAAAGTTTCTTTCTTGTACTGCTGAATTTAAAATTGTGTTTGTTTAGTTTGAAACGTGACTATTTTTCATTATTATCATTCAAAATATGAAACGTCTATTGTGTAAGAAAAGTCAGTAGATGCTGCCAAACTTGATTTTTCTCTTAAATTAAGTGTACTTTTTTAAATTGTTATTTTTCAAAGGTAGGTATTTCTATTATACTAATCCTAAGATGCTACTAAAATCACGTCGTCTAACATTTATTACAGATTTGCATTAGAGATTATTTTTGCATTTAGTTAAAAATTCTATTTTTACAAAATATTTTCACAGATTGACAATGGTCGATAGAAAATTCTCAGTTAGATTTCACTCTTAATAAGTTTAGTGAAATTTATATAGTAGAACACCCATAAGATTTGAACGGTGATAGCTCATTCATATCCAATGAATGGATGATGATAACTGTGAATAGGGGAATACCAATTTGATTTACTCTAAAATCTCTCTTTTTTTTTTGTTAAAATTATTTCTATTATTATTATTATTATTATCTGCAAAAATTTTTGATATATGACCTTTCGGATCACCTGAATAAACTTTATTTTTTTCCAAAGAAACAGATATGATATAAAGTTTTTATTTTGAGGTCATCATATCTTCATGAAGAGAGTAATTTCAGTTGCACTCTCATCACAAAGTTCTTGCACTGCATACAGACAGGAAAAAAAATAAAGAAAAAAAAACCTTCTACAAGAATAAAGTAATAGCCTTTACTTCTATCAGTCGATAATTCGATCAAGACTAAAATCCTGCAACCTGAACCGAAATCCATTTCGATTCACAATATCCAGTATCGAATTTCTCCCAAATAAATTTATGAATAAAAAATTAAATTTACTATTTTTCTCTCTTCTCCGTTTACTATATAAAAATTTAATATATATCATTTATTAAAATGTGAAGTTTCATAGTAGCTGCTGTATAGATTATAAAGTTAACACGGATCGATCCGAAAACATCACCAATTCGAAGAATTTTTGATCAAAATTGATATTTTCAGATTTGTACAAATATTATAGATTGACAAGTATATTCAATAAAACGCTAATACGACCGAAATTTTGTTTACAGTTTTAGATAACTTATAGCAAAACGATAAATGTATACAGATAAGTAAAGTATACCAGAAGAAACGGGAGGAAAAAAATCCCAAAAATAAATTTAATATACGCCTGACAAATATATGTTTCAAGTTGAAATTGAAAGCGGTAGAAATACGTGTTAGGAATGAAAAATGATCGAATCCACACAATAAATAAAAGATAAACCCATCCTATAAAATAAAAAATAATAATAATAAAAAAAAGAAGTATTTGATTCCTACATACGATACAAATTCCTATTCTTCAAACTCATTTTCTGACTCGCTATCAGGCATTTATGTAATACTTTCTTTACTCGCTTGTCCGTTCTTTTTTTTTCCTGTATAGGCATATCCCGCACCAATTATATTTTCTTAAAATTACCAGTTGGACCATTTAAGTGCACTTTGCAAAGTAAGAATTTATTGCAGGAACATATTTAAGTGAACAAGCCAAGCGAAACATAAAAGGCGGACGAACATGTTGGTGAGAGTGCTTCTACACACCAAAGACATAATTGATTAGGAGTTATGTACTCAGACTTAACAGGATGCTTTTACACAGCAGTTATATTGATCTTTTGAAGACATATCCACGGCTTCTTCCAACATCAGTAATGGCATCGAACATTTTGATGTCACTTTATTTTAAATTGATAGATTCTTTGACATTAATGTCTCTTAAGCAAAGCGCTGGAGGCGTCTCGGTAAGTTTATGTTACATAAAAATCAAAGTATTGCGCGTTTCTACCATTTGGAAGAGTTAAATACGTTTTATCTTTTGTTCTTAACTTCTATACAACAGATTGAGATTAAATTTATATGTTAATTGTATTAAGTTGTTTTATTTCTTTCGATCTCTTTCTCTTCTAAAGCAATAGGGAAATTTCTCATCGTATACAGAAATTGACTTGTTTTTAGAGAATTTTGCAAAAATCGCTCGTGTTTCCCTGTTCATATTTAACAACGAATTGTATTTAGAATGTAAAATGTTTATATTTAGAATTTACGTCTAAAATACTGTAATTCTAGTCAAAGAAGTGATTATAAATGATTTACTTGGTAAACTGTGATAAATAAAAACGATCTGTTTATACGTGATATCAATTAAATGGGACTTTATCTTGTTTCGAAGATTTTTATTTCGTTTTCTCCTATTATTATTATTATTATTATCTGCAAAAATTTTTGATATATGACCTTTCGGATCACCTGAATAAACTTTATTTTTTTCCAAAGAAACAGATATGATATAAAGTTTTTATTTTGAGGTCATCATATCTTCATGAAGAGAGTAATTTCAGTTGCACTCTCATCACAAAGTTCTTGCACTGCATACAGACAGGAAAAAAAATAAAGAAAAAAAAACCTTCTACAAGAATAAAGTAATAGCCTTTACTTCTATCAGTCGATAATTCGATCAAGACTAAAATCCTGCAACCTGAACCGAAATCCATTTCGATTCACAATATCCAGTATCGAATTTCTCCCAAATAAATTTATGAATAAAAAATTAAATTTACTATTTTTCTCTCTTCTCCGTTTACTATATAAAAATTTAATATATATCATTTATTAAAATGTGAAGTTTCATAGTAGCTGCTGTATAGATTATAAAGTTAACACGGATCGATCCGAAAACATCACCAATTCGAAGAATTTTTGATCAAAATTGATATTTTCAGATTTGTACAAATATTATAGATTGACAAGTATATTCAATAAAACGCTAATACGACCGAAATTTTGTTTACAGTTTTAGATAACTTATAGCAAAACGATAAATGTATACAGATAAGTAAAGTATACCAGAAGAAACGGGAGGAAAAAAATCCCAAAAATAAATTTAATATACGCCTGACAAATATATGTTTCAAGTTGAAATTGAAAGCGGTAGAAATACGTGTTAGGAATGAAAAATGATCGAATCCACACAATAAATAAAAGATAAACCCATCCTATAAAATAAAAAATAATAATAATAAANAAATTGGGCGGGTTAAGTGACATATGAAGATTGTGGGTGGTCTTTTTTTTATCACTGCTTGAGATTTATTAATTTATATTCGGTAAATATAATAATTTTAAAGAGGGAAAAAATCATGATTAATGATTAAAAGAAAGAGATATTAATTAGAAAATTGTTAGAGATGAACAAATACATTATTTTCTTAACTTAATTTTTCAAAAAATGCCAATATTTAAAAAAAATCAAATGATTTTTTACATAATTATGAACTTTTTTTACCGTTTAAAATGAAAAAAGTTCATTAATTTTTAATTAATTAAATATTTTTTTAACAATTTGCGCTTGAGAATATAATTAAAATTAGCAAATTAAATTGTATTTGCACAAAGTATTATTATTTTTTTTTCAGCATTGTTAATGACGGTTATATATAATGGAAAATATATTTTTTAATAACTCAATTAAATTAAGAAAGAAACGATAAAGTTATACAGATCTTATTCTTATTTATAAAGTAGATAATAATAAAATATAATATTAAAAATAACGTGTATAAAATCTCAAGAAAAATTCAAATTTATTCGAGATGAATCTCCATATAAATAAGAAGGAAAATTGAAAATTTTGTTTTGTTTACTACCGTTTTTTGGGAAGAAGAAGTAGAGATTAAAGCAGAATCAGTTACATAAAAATTAAATAAAATTATGTAAGCATAAATATATGCCTACATACTCTATACAAATTGTAAATAATTAAAACAAACAATATATATAGGTAATAATAAACCCATATAATTATATATTATTTATTATATATTCTATATACATGAGTAGTATATACGGTTGTGTATACAGGGAGAGAAACATACACGGTTATGTATATAAATACTATATATAACCGCGTATGCTTCTCTATACACTTCTGTATACATATAATTATGCTTATTAACTGTATATAGTTTTATATCTGAAGACATATATAATATACACATTTATATACAATTATATATCTATGATATATATGTAAGTTATATATTGTATATATAATATAAATAAATATATCAGTTTTATACTTGGGTATATTAGCTTATATATGAATGAATTATCAAATAGATCTATTTGATTTTTTTTTCGTTAAAGATATTTTCTCCAGTCAACTATAAGTATTAAAGTCTGTAAAAATTAAATTTACATTATTTTTGAGAAAAACATGACGTTATTATTACCTCAAATTAATGCATTAAAAAGAAACAATCTTCGTTATTATTCTACTGATAAATTTGAAATCAACTGAAAAACAAAGATGGGAAAAAAATCATTTCGAGTAACTTGTGACCCAACAAATGAGCCATCAAAGTAAGT